AGAGGGCCCTGTCCAACACAGGGGTGCCAAGAACACTGCCCCAGGGCTAATCACCCTTGGGCTAGGCACTGAGACAGTGACCATGGGTGGAGAAAGAGTCAGGGCAGGAAAGAGAAATGCTGGTTGGGAGGGGAGGTCAGGCAGGCGGGCAGCGAGGGAGGCCGCGGAGGACACGGACAGACTCAGGCATGTCCTCCCTGAACATTCTCGGGACCGCCATAGACGCCGGGGGCAGGAGACCCGGCGGTGGGAAGGGCAGGACAGCTTGAAGAGACAGAGAAGGAGCCAAAGAGGCCCCCAGGCACAGCCCTGAGCGAGAGGACGGAATGGACTGTTAGCCCCGTGGAGAGACAGGTGCGCAAACTGGGGAGAGCACCAGGACGGAGAAGGGGCAGCGAGAAAGGGGCAGGAGGGGTCTCCCAGGAGACGAGCACCCGCAGACACGGCCGGTCACACCTGCAGGGACTCCAGAACACTGTATCCTGATGAGCCAAGGCCAGTGAAACAATTACATCGTGTGCAGCTTCAAAAGATGTCACCATCAGGAGAAACTGAGAGAAGAGAACATGCGGTGCCTCTGTCTCATTTCTTACAACTGTACAAGAATCTGTGATTATTTCAAAACAAAAAGTTTAACTAAGAAAAAAGGACAGGACTCCCAGAGGAAGACTGGGGCAGGTGGCCCACAGCTCCACCACCTCTTCCCTAGTGAACACCTCAGGTTCCGGTGCCACTGGCTCCTCCCACCAGGAACAGAGTACTCAGCCTGCCTACTCCAGGACACTTGGATGTCAGGGATCAGGGTACAGAAGCTGACAGCCACATGCAGGGTACCAGGCTTTTCCGATGATGCCTTCCTCTCTAAAGTGGTCACCTCACCCATGGAGAGCCGTCAGAGGGTTAACCTGACTTCCACCTGAGCTCGCATTAGTCAGCGCTCACTCACGCACACAGAGGTCAGAGCAGAAAATATTTTCTGAGTCATAGGGAGGGATGGCTCAGCCAGCCGCCCACCTCAGCTACTACTCACAGCTGAGTCTGGGGCATGACGGCTCAGCATTCATCAGAGACTCGTGCTCGCGGAGGCAGGCAGGGACAGTCACACTGAGGCTGCTCCACACCCACGGCCACCGTGAGTCACCGAGGGGAAGGACTACTGCCCGCCCTCGCAACCTCCGTCCCGGCCACCAGGCACCTGCTCCCTCCTGAGCTGAGACCCAGTTTTCCACCAAGAGAAGGCCCATCCTGCTTTAGCAACACTGCCATAAGCTGCAAGTGGACATCTGGGAACTCTGCGACAGAAGGAACAAAACTAGCCCTGCACCACGCCCTCTTATTTGTCAACTGCACAAAAACCCGTTTCAGAAGCTGGACATTTCCAAATGTGGAAGATTGTGGCTGTTTGCACTTCCTCCTGTGGATGCCCCCTCTTCGGAGAAGCCACTCACCCTCCCTCAGCCCCACCCTCCAGTACCTCATCCCCAGGGCACTACACCTCCATTGCCCCTCTGGGTTTATAGACCACCAACCGACCCTTGTTCATAAGTTTCCGGAGAGCAAGAACACTGTGTACTGTGCTCTGCTCCCCCTCGAACACTGGAGATATCCAGGAGGTGCTTGCAGGATGAATGAATGAATCAAAGAACAAGCAAGCTCAGTCTTTTCGAACCTGTGGTCACATGAGTAATTTGACCTTTGGAAAGGCTATGCTCCTGGAAGTGGCCCATTTTCTTAATGTACTCATCATCGAGTCATCACAAAATATGAACTCTTATAATAAAAGTTCTGCCCCCTCACTTCCTGTGAGAAAGCAAAATCCCCCAGAGGGGACATGGGAGGGGAGCAGACGTCACCGCACTGCTTTAGGAAGGTTGCAACTTGCTGACCATGGTACAGCCCCCCCGACTGCCTGGTTTTGGGACTGCCACCCCAGGAATGGCTGCTGAGCTCAGATGGAGTGCCCAGCCAGGCAGGCAGCACACCCTGAATCCTGCCAAGTGAGCTCCTGCCAGAAAGGGAAAGACGCTCTCTAGTTCAGACCCGCCCACCACTGGAAAGCCAGCTCCCGCTGGGACCTGGACACACACGATGTCTTTCTGACAAAGGTTACAGACCTCTGTATATTGTCACCCTGCTTATTTAACTTACATGCAGAGTACATCATGAGAAACGCTAGGCTGGATGAAGCACAAGCTGGAATTAAGATTGCCGGGAGAAGTATCAATAACCTCAGATATGCAGATAACACCACCCTTATGGCATAAAGTGAAGAAGAACTAAAGAGCCTCTTGATGAAAGTGAAAGAGAGTGAAAAAGTTGGCTTAAAGCTTAACATTCAGAAAACTAAGATTACGGCATCCAGTCCCATCACTTCATGGCAAATAGATGGGGAAACAGTGGAAACAGTAGCAGACTTTATTTTGGGGGGCTCCAAAATCACTGCAGATGGTGACCACAGCCATGAAATTAAAAGACGCTTACTCTCTGGAAGGAAAGTTATGACCAACCTAGACAGCATATTGAAAAGCAGAGACATTTAAAAAAAAAAAAAGCAGAGACATTACTTCGCCAACAAAGGTCTGTCTAGTCAAGGCTATGGTTTTTCCAGTAGTCATGTATGGATGTGACAGCTGGACTTTATTATAAAGAAAGCTGAGCACTGAAGAATTGATGCTTTTGAACTGTGGTGTTGGAGAAGACTCTTTAGAGTCCCTTGGACTGCAAGGAGATGCAACCAGTCAATCCTAAAGGAAATGAGTCCTAAATATTCACTGGAAGGACTCATGTTGAAGCTGAAACTCCAATACTTTGGCCACCTGATGCGAAGAGCTGACTCATTTGAAAAGACTCTGAAGCTGGGAAAGATTGAAGGCAGGAAGAGAAGGGGAAGACAGAGGATGAGGTGGTTGGATGGCATCACCGACTCAATGGACATGAGTTTGAGTAAACTCGGGGAGGTGGTGATAGACAGGGAGGCCTGGCGTGCTGCAATCCATGGGGTCGCAGAGTCAGACATGACTGAGCGACTGAACTGAACTGAACAGGCCTCTGTGGCCTTGATGGTGATGGCAACAGTGGGACCATCTCCAGATGAACATTCATCTTAGTTTCAGGTGCTTCAGTGCTGGGTCACAGTGGATTTCTAAATTCTCCTGATACTCAAAATACCAATTTTGGAAAAATACCAATTTCTGAGATGCAGGAATGTTGTTAAACAGATATTCAGAACAGACCCCAGTCTGACTCCCAGAGTGTTCTCCCAAGTGAGGTGAAAATCCAAGTTCACCTGCCCTGGGCTGTTTAGCAGCTCTATTCCTGATCGTCTCAAAACTGCACAGCAGGGAAAAGGAGTGACTTCTCACACCCTCAACAACGGGCATGAATCTCACATACATTTTGCTGAGCCAAAGCAGCCAGAGTCAAAAAGCTACACATCGTTGACTCCATTTACTTGACTTTCCAGAAAAGCCAAAACCTTAGGGACGGAGATGAGACTGGTGGCCAGGAAGCGAGAGACGAGTTTATGCCAAAGGGCAGCAGATGGTTTGATGGGATTGTTCTGCTGCCTGACTGCAATGATCTGTCAAATACTCTAGAACTGTGAGCTACAAGTGAACCACACTCCATGTCTACTGAGGATAAACAAATTACATTTTGAAAAATGTGCCGGCCAACGTACTGGTACAAGACGAGTGCAGTAACGGGGGAAGAGAGGGAGGCAGGTGGATCAACTGGAGTTTTGAAGGTTCTCCCCACTTTCAGTTTCCGTCCCCTGGGTCGTCTCCCCGCCCTGCCCACTGCTCAGGCCGCGCGCCAGGGCGACACAGAGCTACCCAACCGGAAAAGCCAGAGCCCGGGCTCAGCCGCGCCTCCGGGCGCAGGAAGCGCAAAAATAGAAAGCGCCGGTGCGCTCGGCGGGCTGGAAAGCCTCCGACCTCGGAGAACCGCGGAGCACCAGGGCCAGGAGCCAACGTCGGCTCCCGGGCGGTCCCAGCGTCCCGACCCCGCCCCTGGCAGCGACAGTTTCCAAAAACTGACACACACGGAGCCCGCGCGAGGGGCGGGGCGCGCGGGCTTCCCCGCCGGGTCCCGTGGAGGCCGGTCCCCCCGTAAGCCGAGCGCGCGAAAGGGCGCCCCAAAAGCGCCCGCCCACCGCGCCCGCTCACCGCGCCCGCTGTGCTTTCCCTCCCGAAGGCGCGCTGCCCAGCCGGAGCGCGGTCCCTGGAACACGGACACGCGCACCCACGCCGCCACCGGGGACAGGAGCCGGGGCGCCCACCCCGCGCCCTGCATGTCTGGAATCACCCGGACGCCTGTGTAAATTTCCGTTCGGCCTGTCAATTTTCCAAAAGCCATACAAGATCAGGGAACAGGACGCCTCCTTTCCAAAGGTCCGGCCAGCCCACCCACTCAAATTAGGGAACATGACGCGTCCTTGCCAAGGGTCCGGCCAGCCCACCCAAGATCCGGGAACAGGACGCTTCCTTTCCAAAGCTCTAGCCAGTCCTGCCACTCAAAATTAGAGAGACAAAATACCTAATTTACAAAATTAACAACTGGAAAGGAGGAGGAAAGGGTTTCCTCAAAAATAAAAAAGCTGAGCACGGTGACAGCGCCAAGAATAAACTACCAGCAAAGAGAAACCCCACACGTCAAATCATAAAGTACGGAAAGGCAAGCCCGCCGGCCGTTCAGGCCCGGGGAACGGGGGGTCCCCAGCCCCGCAGGACCAACGGCAGCCCGGCTCGGGCGCCCCTCGGAGACGCAGGGTCCCCGCGGCCCAGTCTTCGCCCTCGGCCGGCCCGGGTTCCCCGCTGCCCACTCTGCGCGCGGGGCTTGGAAACGGCCGCCGGGAATCCGGCGGGGCGGGAATGGGGGGTCCCGGGGAAGGTTGGGGGCTCGAGTCGCTCGGTTTCTCGGTGGGCCCACCACGCGCAGCGGGGACTGGGGGGTGGGGGTCTGGGGAGAAGGGGTTAAGGGAAGAGAGGGGCGGCACTCACGTAGACCGGCAGCGGCCACGGGTAGACGGCGGGCTCGGCCCCCACGGGCGACTTGAGCCTCAGCTCCAGCTTCTCCCCCATGTCGGCGCGCACGGTCGCCGCACCATGCTAGTCGGGCGGTTGGGGGAGGGGCGGGGCCCCGCCGTCGGGGGCGGGGCGGACGGGCGGAGGAGGGCGGGCGGGAGGCTGAGGGGAGGGGGCCTGGCCTGGGCCTCAGCCGCCGCCACCGCGCTCCCGTCCAGCCCCCGGCTCCCTCTTTGTGGTCACAGGCCCAGAGCCTCCAGCGCCGCCGCCATCTTGGGCCGGCGTGAGACGAGCACAATGAGCCGGGGGCCGGGCTGAACCACTCGCGGCGCGCGCGCGGGGGGGCCTGGGCGCGAGGAGGCGGTGCGCTCCCGCTGCCCCGCCCGCCGCGCCTCGTGCGCCCCCCCCGCCGGCCCGCCCCTTGGGCTCTCCCGCTCCCACGCACCACGCACGCACGCACGCACGTCCTCGGCTGCCCTCGGCTGCCCCCACCAGCCCCAAGCGGGAACCCGGGGAGACCCCGGGAGGCCTGAGATGAAGGGTTCGAAACCCGCTCTTGGCTGACAGGAACACCCTCCCCCCCCATAATAAAAGTATAATTTCTTATTAAAGGTGACCGGCACAGACCCAGCTTCTGGTCACAAGAATGCCATGTATTTAGCCTATTGTTGTTGTTCAGTCGGTAAGTTGTATCCAACTTTTTGTGACCCCATGGACTGCAGCACGCCAGGCTCCTGTATCCTCCACTAACCCCCCAAATTTGCTCAAATTCATGTCAGTGAATTGAGTCAGTGATGCTATTTAACCGTCTCATCCTCTGCCACCCCCTTCTCCTTTTGCCCTCAATCTTTCGCAGCATCATGGTCTTTTCCAGTGAGTGTTCTTTTCCCGTCAGGTAGCGAAAGTATTAGAGGTTAAGCTTCAGGATCAGTCTTTCCAATGAATATTCAGGGTTGATTTCCTTTAGGATTGACCGGTTTGTCTTTGCAATCTGGAGGGACTCTCAAGAGTCTTCAGCACCATAGTTCAAAAGCATCAATTCTTTGGTGCTTGGCCTTCTTTATGGTCCAAATCTCACATCCATACGTGACTACTGGAAAAAACAGCTTTGACTATATATGGACCATTGTTGGCAAAGTGATGTCTCTGTTTCTTAATATGCTATCTAGGTTTGTCATAGTATCCTTCCAAGAAGCAAGGATCTTTTAATTTCGTGGTTGCAGTCACCATCTGCAGTGATTTTGTATGTGTGTGCTTAGTCATGTCCAACTCTTTGCGACTCCATGGACAGAGCCCACCAGGCCCCTCTGTCCATGGGATTTCCCAGCAAGAATACTGGAGTGGGTTTCCATTTCCTCCTCCAGGGGATCTTCTCAATTCAGTGATCAAATACGCATCTCCTGTGTCTCCTGCCCTGGAAGGTGGATTCTTTACCACTGAGCCACCTGGGAAGCCTACAGTGAGAAAATGAAATCTGTCACTGCTTCCATTTTTTCCCCATTTATTTGCCATTAAGTGGTGGGACCAGATGCTGTGATCTTAGTTTTCCGAATGTTGAGTTTCAAGTCAACTTTTTTTTTTCAAGTCAACTTTTTAATTCTCCTCTTTCACCCTCACTAAGAGGCTCTTTAGTTCCTCCTCATTTTCTGCCATTTGAGTGGTATTATCTGCATATCTAAGGTTGTTGATATTTCTCCCAGCAATCTTGATTCCATCTTGTGATTTATCTAGCCCAGCATTTCACATGATGTACTCTGTATAGACCACAGGAGGGCACGGCAACCCACTCCAGTGTTCTTGCCTGGAGAACCCCCATGGATGGAGGAACCTGGCAGGCTACAGTCCATGGGGCAACAAAGAGTTGAACACGGCTGAAGGTACTTCGCATGCATGCATACTGCATAGAAGTTAAATAAGCAAGGCGACAATATACAGCCTTGTCATACTGTATATAAACTATATATGTACAGGTGTGTATGTATGTTATATACCTGTATATGTATATGTTGTATAGGTATTGTATGTATATATGTGTATATACTATGTATATGGCTTCCACCTGGCAGGCTGCAGTCCATGGGGTCACAGAGAGTCAGACACGATTGAGCAACCATGCCTACATACTGGTGGCTCAGTGGTAAAAAAAATCTGCCTGCCATCAGGAGACAAGGGTTCAATCCCTGGGTGGGAAAGATTCCCTGAAGAAAGAAATTTCCCAGTTTTCTTTCCTGGGAAATCCCATGGATGGAGGAGTCTGGCAGGCTACAGTCCTTGGATTTTCAAAAGAGTTGCACACAACTTAGCGACTAAACAACATGCATGCATACACACACACACACACACACACACACATATATAGTATATATACACACACCTATCTTTGTATGTGTGGATGCATACACATGGAGAAGAGAAGGGGGTGACAGAAGATGAGATGGTTGGATGGCATCACTGACTCAATGGACATGAGTTTGAGCAAACTCAGGGAGATAGTGAAGGACAGGGAATCCTGGCATGCTGCAGTTCATACAGTTGTAAAGAGTCATACGTGACTTAGTGACTGAACAACAACAAATTGTGTATATTATATGTATATATGTGTGTTTATATACTGCATATATATAAACTATTTTATATGTGTGTATTTATGTGCATTACATTGTATATATTATAGATGTATATGTCTATATACATACACCTATGTGTACACACCTATATATTTTTGTATGCATGTATATATGTATGTGGGGGCTTCCCTGGTGGCTCAGATGGTAAAGAATCTGCCTCCAATGCAGGAGACCTGAGTTCTATCCCCTGGCTTGGGAAGATCCCCTGGAGGAGGGAATGGCTACCATTCTAGTATTCTTGCCTGGAGAATCCCATAGACAGAGGAGCCTGGCAAGCTGAAGTTGGTATAGTCGCAAAGAGTTGGGCACAACTGAGCGACTTAACACAATATATGTATGTATGTGTGTGTATATACACACCCAGTGGATCCTGTTTGTCTGGAGAACCCTCACTGACACAGACCCTTATGACAGTTGAGCACCTGCTCTGTGCCAGCCAGGAAGCTCGATGCTTGTGCGTTACAAGTCCCCTTTAGTGTTACAAGTCCCCAGGCGAGGTGTCTTGGGGTCAGAGAAGTGCACAGGGCGCTGGCAGGCGGGCTGGCTGGAGCTCACTTGGAGTTCCAACTGTCCTAACAGCAGTACAGCCCCACAGTCCCACACCCTCAGGTGCTGCTCACAAGGATGTGGAGGGAGAGACAGGATCTGCAGGAAGGTATAGGGAAGCTTCTGAAGGTCCCTCTGGAGCCCCAGATGGAGGCTGGATCCCCAAGGGTGTTCTTGGTGAGGACTGTGGGTGGGGGTTACACAGAATCACTCACTTGAAAAAAATATCCATTCTGCCCTTGTCTGTATGTTTATCCTCCAAAATCTTTTAAAAATGGATGCCCTGGTTGCTGGGAACACACCCGCCAAAGTTGTGTGTCTGTGTTGTAAGGGGACCCAGCAGGAGGACTCAGAAATGGATGAGCCCCCCACTCACAGGGCTGAAGGACTTGAGCTAAGGATAGCCAGCAAGGTCCTGGAGAGAAGGGTCCCTGCTCTGGGCACCCTCTTCCCAGCCCAAGATGCCCAGAGCCACCACCTTAACCACACCACAGAGGAGAGCCAGTCACTGTGGCTCCCAGGCTCCCTGCACTAGGAGCTATTTTAAGCTTGCATCCCGCAGGACATAGCTAGAGAGAGCTGTTGTCTACAGAAAATCTCTGTCTCTTCCCGCTCCCTTACCTCTCAGCTTCTTCCCCTTCCCCCTTAGCTGTCACCAACCCCATTTCTGCAGAGACCTCCAGGGTCCTCTGAGACCCTGATTCAGGCACCAGCCACAGGATAGCTCTGAGAACCCTCGCAAGCTGAAAACCCTAGCCCCTCCCTGTGCCCACGCCCACCATCTAATAGATGTCAAAGCAAGCCCTAGTCAGGTATGACCTTGGGCCCAGGGATATTGGCACATGCTGTCAGTGGTGCCATTTTCTTCCTTAGACTCCTCCCTCCCTCCTGTGTTACTGTCACTTCCTCCAGAACCTTCTCAGACTCTCCTACAGTAGGCTGGGCTCAGGGTGTGCCCTCACCTATCGTTTGTTGCTGTTCAGTCTAGTCACATCTGACTCTTTGCGACCCCATGGACTGCAGCTTGCCAGGCTTCCCTTTCCTTCACTATATCCCTGAATTTTCTCAAACTCATGTCCATTGAGTCAGTGATACCATCCAATCATCTCATCCTGTGTCACCCCCTTCTCCTCTTGCCCTCAACTTTTCCCAGCATCAGGGACTTTTCCAAAGAATCAACTCTTTGCATCAGGTGGCCAAAGTATTACAGCTTCAGCTTCAGCATCAGTCCTTCTAAATATTGAAGTTGGAATTGTTATCATGGTTTGGTTGGGTGGCCAATCCCCCACCCCCAGTTTGCCCCAGACCACCCAAGTTTTAGTGCTGGAATTCTGGGAAGACCCTCAGTCCCAGGGAACCCTGGAGGGGGCTAATCAGCCTATTGAGGACAGACCTCTTACTTGATCTCCCAACCCCTGAAGACCAGAAAGGGAACCCTCCTCTACCTTCCTATATGGTAATCTTCATTTATTCATCCATTCATCCTTGTCTTCAACCCCTTTATTCAGCAAGTATTTACCAAGTACCTAATGAAATGGGAATCCAAGTTCTTGTTCATGGAGGTGAAGAATGAGTTTCACAGACATGGAAACATTCAAGGTAGCAAGTGAATAGGATTCATTAAAGAGAAAGAAAGTACAAAGACCTTAGCATAAACACTGAGAGGTGGTAAAGAGTCCCCCAGAAGAGGAAGATTATAGCACTTTTGTATGTTTACCAATATTAATCTGTACGCTTTTAATTGGCTCCTGTCCTTAAAATACATCACTTCTAACCAATCAGTTTAAAGGTCACATTGTTTAATTTAACATCTTTATGGTTCCTCTTGATCCTTGATTAAGTCACCACCCTTTTTCACATCCCCTGGCCATTTTGCAATGGACCACCTTATGGGATTAAGATTAATGATCACCAGTTGTTTTTCCCTCAGGCATATGGGACAGACATTAATTACTGCCCTTTTCTGGATCTGAGTGCTAATAGTTTATCAGACCAAGGACACATTTCAGGAATTTGGGACAAAGGGTATAGCTTTAGGTTAATGGAGTGAGATGTTTACTGAAAACAAGACCTAGGTCTCAGAGTCCTACACTTACTGCCTAGCAATTTCTACCTCACTAATACACAGCAGATTGTTGCTGGGAATGTAACAGGACCCCCATTCTCAAACAGCTCATGTTCTAGGGGCTTCTCTGCTGGTGCAGTGGATAGGAATCTGCCTGCCAATGCAGGTAATGTGGGTTCAATCCCTGGACGGGAAGATCCCACACACCATGGAGCAACTAAGCCCATACCCCACAAACAGTGAAGCCTGCACTTCCCAGAGCCAGTGCTTGGCAACAAGAGAAGCCACTGC